TTTACAATGTGGCTGCCAATAAATTACTGTGGGAGAAATGTGAAGCATGCAGTTTCAGTCCCGATGCAATTTTTAAATTCAAATTTCATTTTTAAAAAATACTTACCTGTTGGTTTTATGTTAGACATATTTTTCTCCTGAAATATATCTCTATAAGTTATTAATGAATAAAGCAAAGTTTGCCTTCTTTGGAAATAAAATGTAGTGTGTTTGGGAAGATTTGTTTGCAGTCATTGCTCTTTGCTGTTTAAAGAGTCAGTCCCACCTTGACTTTTTATACAGGAGTTCAAGTCAGTCTCTCTCACCCTCAGAGTATTACTGCAAAATGTAACATCCTCCTTGGTGGGAATAAGTCATGGTAGCAACCACTGCATGTTTCCAGGTGTGAGATCCCAGATTTAGTGTTTGAATAATAAAGGGTCTTGATTCTGCAAATATATAGGCACTTAAAATAAAGGCCCTCAGTGGATCTACTCAAGTGGTAAGTAAGTTTAAGCAGACACTTCAGATCTTTGCAGGACCCGAGATCTATGTTTTAGCAGCGACTAGTTTCAGAATTTTATTATGTATTTTTAATATGCAGAGTAATTAATCTAATAAGAGTTCTCCTGATAGAAGCTCATTCAATAAGTAAATATTTACCTAAAAAAATAAAACATAACCCAAAGGTTCTGTGGTGGACACGTTTCACTTAAGAATGTATAATCTGTGCTGTTAATTTGAGTGAATATCCATCTTTTATTTTTCCATAAGAGGTCTGTTCTTTCCTTTACAAATCCAAATGAAAAATAAACAGCTCAACCTACTAAAAGTCTCTGTGAATTACGCTCTAAAGGCAAGCCAAGGAGCCTGGCAATACTCACAGGTTCCTCATTGTGTGCAACAGTCCCATAGGAAGAATTTACCATATAAATATATATATTTATGCATACACCTCTATGACTAAATGCATAGTGACACACCTGTGGTATCTCTCTCTCTGTAGATATATATATTACATACAATATGTATATTCAGAGGATGTTACATATATTTGCTTAAAAATATATATAGAATTACATATGGTATGTAATGTATAACACACATATGCACATCATAACTTTTTGTGTGTATGTGATCAAAGAAAGAGGTTACTGGAAGCTTTCTAAGGACTTCTAAAATGTGGAAAAAGTTTTGGAATAAGAAAAGTCCATATGGAATTCTTAAATGAACATGTACCTGACTTTCCATTGCATTAATGTAATTTTGCAGTTCTCTGTTCAATTATTAAATATCTTATAAAGCAGCAAAATAACTAGATGGTTGTTCATATTTTCATAATGCTGACATAATTTATTAAGTGAAAGATCACGATAATGAGAGATATACAGAAATGGTGAGTTTTGATATAAGTATATATAAAAACTACGTGTATATACAATATAGAGATCTACTTCAAATTCTTCAGGATTTTTGCTTCAGGGGATCACTGAAAAGTATGTCCAGTTAGACTGGGTTTTTATGGTATTGCTGATGGAAAATAAAGTTAATTTGTTAGTATTTATAATAAAGGAGAAAATAAAGCTCATGATGCGAAACAGGTGAACACTGTTTAACTAAAGTGATGATGTTTTATAATATGAGTAAAATAAAGAGCTGTTGTAAACTGGCAGGTCCTATCATCGTTGCCTATCTGAAGGTACATGGGAGGTAATGCTGCTCCAAGTGGGATGACTTCCTCCTCCTCTGCTTTTTACAGTGATTAAAAATACAGAGAAAATAAGGATGGTCCTCCAAAAGAGTTAACAGCAAAAGGTGAAGAGCATGGAACTTTATGTTAACTCTGTGATAATCTGGGACATAGAAGATTCAGGCTGCAGGCTGGGAAGAGCTGGGGGTGTTACTTACATGGTTCAAACCTGTTGGCTCCAAGGGCAGCTCTGCAGAGGCCGCAGCAATGCAGGTGCTGAACATTTGAGAAGAGGATGCTCAGGAATAGAGACAGTGACAGTTTTGCACTGCAGTCCATAAGCAACTCTGGTCCCAAAGTAATGCTACAGCAGGTTGATTTTTTTTCCCCTCCTCTGCTGTTTAGAACACTTTGATGCACACTAAAAGCCCTGTTTTCCTCCCTATCTCCCACCCATACTTTTTGGGTACTTTTCAACCCATATATTCCCGTGGCCGAAGGTGGATTTCATTTTATAATTTCTTACCATATCTGCAGTAGTAGAAGATGACAGTCAAGGACCTCCTGATCTAGCTCGGTTTGCCTCAGATGTGCTTGTAATAATTTGAGTTTCATCCCAGTCTCTAGTGAATAGATGCTCACAAGTTTAGCATTTAAATGTTTTATTGAGAATCTGCATTTAATGCAGAGGCTAGCCCATAAATAATGAGATTTCCTATAACTTTATATATTTTTCCTATATATAGTATATATGTCTATAGCTCTATGTATTTTCTATACCTTCAGCATGGTCATTCTGAACCAGAGTTCAGTTCTGAACTACTAATGTTTTTCCATATAATTTTCATGCAAATTTAGAGAAAGGTGCCCTGCAGCCTTACAGGGCAACTACCATGTCTGTGAAAGGTCAGAGGCTGTAGCAGAATTTAGCCCTCAGCTCTTCCTGGTCCCTGACCTGGGGTGATGGTGTGCCTGATGCAGCTCAGCACGATCTTGGTTCACATCTTGCAGCTCAGGTTGCTGCCAGGCAATGCAAGTATGTGACTCCTATAGCAATAGGTGCCATCAAACCCAGTTTAGGAGCAGTTCTTACATTGCTCAGCTGCTGAGCAAGGGTTACAGGCATCAGAAACCAGTAGATGGAGAGGGGGAAGAATACCCACTTCTAAGTACTGCCTAAATCTGTTCCACACTGTTTTGTGACAGATTAAACAAACTGGCTATTGCTGCAGTTGAGGTGGGGTTTCTTTTGGTTGGTGGGGTTTTTTGGATTTTTTTTTGTGGGTTTATTTTTTTTTTTTTTGCTTCCCTTGCAGTAGTCAAACACTGCTTTCAGCAGCAGTTATTCTGGGCAGTTACTCCCACCTCACCAGAGCAGAGCCTGCATATGAATTGATAAATTCCTTCTTTGCGGTTATTTACGCTGTTAATAAATTAAACTGACAAGCAACACGCTCTAGTAAGACATGTCTGGCATAAACTCCCACAGCATTCCAATAAAACAGCACCAACAAAATGTCCTGAATAATTTCATGACTGTGAGGGTCAGCTGTCCCTGTTTCAAAGAAGAAGGTGCCACTTTACCACACAAAACAGTCCCAGCAGATCTGATGCTACACCTGTGCTGGAACCCATGAATGAAAAAAACCTCAGCATACTACTGAAGGAAAGTCTTGGGTGCTGTGATAAGGAGTTCCTGCAGCTCCAGCTTGTCAGCTCAAATGGCTTTTAGTCCCCTCCTTCACAGCTGATAAGAGTTAAAAGCCAGATGGAAAAGGCACAGAGCTGGTGAAAGCTGAAACGAAAACTTTGAAAACTGGGATGGGAAAGGGAATGTGTAGAGACTAACCTAGTGAAGCACTTCAGTAAGAACTGGGCTTTAGTGGGATTATTTGTGTGCCTGGAGTCAAGCTGATGCTTAAATGGTGCACAAGCACATTAAGTAGAGCTCAGTATTTGCACACACACAAGTGAAGGGTTTCCTTTCCCTGGTTTTGGTTTGGTTTTTTTTGTTTGTGGGGATTTTTTTTTCTGAGTCAAAGATTTCTGGAAGCTGAAAGAGTGTCTCGCAAGTGTTACTTATTCCAGCAATCCTGTGGAACTCCATGGGACTGCAAGAGACTGGGTTGTGACAGGATCCCGTGGCAGTATTGAACTCTACAAGTCCAAGGAAATACTTTACAAGTAAATATCAAAACACACAGTCTTTGGCTGCAGTCCACTCAAAAGCTCGTTGGCAACCACAAATACCTTAGTTGAGCTGGTGAAGTACAAATAATGCCTTTAGGGGCTTTTATAAGGGTAATCTCCCACTTCGGTGGAATTTCAAGTTTTATTCTGAGAAGATCTGCAGTAAGAGCTTATTTCAAACACAGAAAGTTTGTCTTTAGATCCAAAAAGAAACGTCTGCCAAGCTCATTGCTATTTAGAGACTGTAACTGGAAGAGATTTGCAATTATTATTGCAATTGCAATTATTTAACAGGTATCCAGCCCTTCCCCTGGGAAACTCCTGCACACCTCAGGTGACGTTTACGAGTAGGGACTATCAGTCAAGGGTAAAGGCAACACAAACCCACAGTGGGTATCTTCAGTAGAAGGCAAAACTTTTATTAAATGAACCAGATGTCACAAGTTAACATTTGCAGCTGTCTCAGAGATGGGGAATTGAACGGCGGTTATAGGAGCAGTAGAGGAATATGCAAATTTGTCCCGGATACTGTGGAAAGCCAGGCAGCTCTGTCATAATAGTTACTTTCAGTGTGTCCTAATCATGAAAATCAGTTGCATAGGATGTGCCCTGGAGCATTGCTAGTGGTCGTTGCACCAAAGTTGAGCCTACATCAGACAGAATTGCCATCAAGGTTTCAATCTGTTCCATACCAAACAGCAAAAATCTCACTACTGTATCATTCGGTCAGGAAAAAAAACAACAAACAGTCATATAATAACTATGCCAGACAAGTTGACTATCAAGGGGGTGTGTGCCACTTAAGAGCCTTTGTCTCCTGGTTTCTTCTTGCTTGTCTTCTCTATCATTGTCTCAACAATCATCGCTGTCTCTTCATACGTCTGAATTTTGTCATCTGAAAACTTCTCGATGGACTCCACCACCTCCACCTTCTCGTAGCTCATAGAGCCAGGCAAGGCTGCTTCCCTGAACAAAAGGCCCTGCTTGTCTTCTCGCTCATATTCTGTCTCTCGGAGGAGTCCTGGCTCAGTTGGGCTTATCAGACCAGGGGAAGGAACTGTCTCAGGCTCAGAGATGTCCGGATACTTCGTGATTTGCTCGATTTTTCCTCTTGTTTTTTTGCCCCATTCAAGCACCTCTTCTCTCTCTTCCTCTCTCTGTTTATCTGGGATTTCAAACCCTTCTCTCCTTTCACAGATATCCACTTTCTCTTTTTCTGGTGGTTCGGCAGGTTCTGGCAGCTCTGGTATGGGCTCCACCTCCCCACCGTTCATCACCTTCCCATTGCCAGTGGAAACTGTGATTCCTCCTGGAGAAGGGATAGGGGGGGCCACGATGCACGGTTCTTTGTAGCCCTCCCCTGTCACCAGCACATAACGACCTTTGGGAGGTACTTCAGGCTTAGCCTCTGGTTTCTTGCAGACTCTTATTTTCTCCCTCACAATGTTACACAATTTATCGAAGGCTTTACTTATGTGGGCTCCGTCAGGTACATCCTCTGGGCCCATTTCTTTTTCATCGAATTCTGAACCTTCCTGCCCAGGTTCACACCTGACTGAGCCTCCGTGCCTATACTCCATCTGATCTTGGTCAAAACCTTCCAGAGTTCTTTCATACATTCTTTCAGGTGAGTGACTGTCAGTTTTGTCTTTTGACATCAGCTCCTTTTTCCTGGCAATTTTCTTTGTCAGTGCTTTTTGTCTGGGCTTTACACTGGCAATGTCTTGCACGGCCTGGGTGATATCTAGAGAAAAATCAAAACAAAGCAAACAACAAACAGTACTTGAAGGCAGTCACTGCAAATGCTAGAGCTGCCTCTCACCCTCACTGCTGCAGGTGGAGAGCCTTTGTGTCTAAGAGGGGTTAAAAGTGAGCCAGAAACCTCCACTCATGGCAATTTGGGGTATGGGCAGATTCTGAGAGGCATGTCAGGAGGGAGTAGCCAGTGGCTGGTGGGTACAGAGCTGGGAATTACTGCAACATGGGGACAGAGAGGTATTAACATCCCAAGACAGCTGTTTTTGTCCCATGTCACAGATACAGTAATGCACATGAAATGCCCTGCTCACCGTGCAGGAAGAAGCAGAGGTGTTGCTAGAGACAGGCCAAATCCTCAGCAGGTACGAAACAACACTTTGTGGGGTGGCAGTTATCTGCAACTGCTGAGGATTTGGCTTTAGGCATTCTGGACCCATTTCATATAAAACTGCTACAGTTTACACAGTGGTTAGAAAAATTGCAGCTGCACTCCAAAAAAAAAAAAACCCAAACAACCTAACACCCTCATTTGATGGCTTGTCTCCATTCTCAAGGCAGTTTGTTATTACTAAAATCCCAGTGAGCCTTGGATTTAAGTCATACCAAACGTTTGTGCCTACCTCACCTTTCTATAAATCAAGCTCCCTCTTTGGTAAGAGCAGCCTTGCTCATTTAGTCCCTGGCCATTTCCTTGTCACTGGGTTTACAAGCATCATAATTCTAACAAGCCATCATACAACACAGAAGGAAAACAAGGCCCAAAAAGGGTCCTCTGCCTGCCTCTGGCCCTGAATGTGCCTTGGTGCTCTCTGCATCCCACTAAAGTGCAAGCAAACAGTCCACAAGTCAGCACAAAACCTGCAGCTCTTTCCATAGTTTCAGGTGCCTTTTCACTATGTTCTCTTGATTGGCCCAAGTAGTAAATTACAGAAATCAGCAAAGAAACACTTTTGCTTGTGGTTGTGGCCTTTGACAGCTTGTCCCAAAGCCAGCTGAGGTAAGCTGAAATGGTTGCATTTACTTAGCAAGCCTGGAATCAGGCTGTCACAGCTGGTGGGTCATATGGAAGACAAATGGACACACTTAAAATACAGTGGTGCTGCTTGTGACAGACACAGCAAGACATCACTGATTTACCTCTTCCCCTAGTAACCTGGGGCTGAGCAGGTCTGTAGATCTGTGTGAAGAGTGTGACTGGGGTTCCTGCTATAGCAGAGTTTAACCTGTGGAGAAGACACACACGGATCAGATCTCTCCCCATAATTTCCAGTGAAAACAAGTGGAATCGTGCAAATTGGAGCACAGAGATTAAAGACATATTTTTTTTCTATGGTGAGGATTCAAAAAGAATGACGGGAGCCTGTTACTTGTCAGGGGAAAATCAACACAGCCACAGCACCTTCAGAGGAGTGAGGCTGGCCACCCATAGGAGAAATGGAATGCTCCATAAGGTAAAGTACACTAGTAACTACAACCTATAGCAACAGCTTTGTAATTTAGCATGGCATTTTGAAAAGATGGGGAGATTTTAGATGGGCAGTCAATCCAAGCCTACCATACACCAGCCATAAATTCATTTTACCATGCTGGCTGATAAAATAGGAAATTTGGTAGCCCTTACAAAGTGACCTGCAGATGCTTGACTCGAGAAGGGCAAGATAAAAACTGAGCAGTCTTCCTTGGAAAACATTTGAGGAGTCAGCAGTATTAAGGGTTAAAAATTAAAAAAAAAAAAAAGAGACTGACCTATTGCAAATCAGTTACTATATCTTTGGCCTTTTCAGTCTGCTCTGCCAGAATTTGAGATACTTTGGCCTGTCAGAGATATACACCCTGTGTCCATATGCAAGAGATGCCCATTTTGATTTTTGGTGCTGAGAATTACGCTGTAAAGATACTTCTATCCAGAACTCAGTGTCCAAAATCAGACCCTGAAAATGGATGAAATACCTGTTCCCCACACATAAGACTAACTATTAGTCAGTGTGCCTCCCCTGCATCTTCGGGACAACCTGGAGCATCAGCTTGGGTGCTTGAGGTGCTCTGCTGCTGAAAGCCCAGCTCTTTTTCTCATGTGCAGCTGATGGTTGGCATTAGAGGGAGCCAGAGCTCCTCTGTAGGTTTCAACACAACCCAAATGCCAGCTAATTTCTTGTATTCTCCCCTTTTTATCCCTTGCCTGATGAATGGCTCTGCTGTGAAAGATTGCTTTGCTTTACAGGACATTTGTCCTGTCTGCACCCTCCAGAATCAACCTGCCTGTAACACCCAGCCAGTGTCACCAACACTTGGGCTGGGGAGAGGGTGTTCAAATTGCTTTTGTGGGCTCCTGACCTCTGTGCACTGATGCCAGGACAGCATGTGGAAAGCAGACTGCATGGACAGGAGAAGCTCCAAATGCCTCTGACCGTTTCCTTGGAAGAAGCTTGACAAGATTTTGCATCTATTTAGATTTCTGTCCCTGGACATCTATAGCTTTGGGTGGATCAAATGTCCTTAAACATACATTTTTCAAAGGAGATAAAAGAGATCACTGGCCCCTTTGGGAGTGTCCAGAAATCCAGCCTTACCGGCTGTCCTCGTTCTCAATGATCCGCTTGTACCGCTCCAGCTCGTTCTCCAGGGACTGCTGGTAGATCACCAGCTGGCGGCAGTCAGTCGTGTACTTCTCCAAGATCCTCTCAGCCTCCTCTATTCCCTTCCTAAGGTTTTCAATCTGCTCATTGTAAAGCTGAATTTCATCATCATAGCTCTCCTGGGTGTTTTTAATTGCTTGCTCCAGCATGGTTGTCTGGTGAATAAAATTGGTGGGTGAAAGAAGCAGCTTTGAAACATTCGCCATCCCCATACTTTAAGGGTAATTAAAGGCAAGTCATGTTTTATTACAATGTGATGCTGCACTGCTGAAACACAGCAGCAATTTTCACTACATTTGTTCAATTATTCAAAACCAAGAATTCCTCCTGCTGCCTCCTTGTCTGTCCCAAGGTTTCTGTTCCACAATAAGCGTGATGGGATCAGCAGCATGGACCAGGGAATAGCTGTGTGACGTCTCCCTCCCCTTGCACACGAGGCTGGCTGATACCTCACTGTGTGACCTGCAGTTCCCCATGTCCTGCCTCGGCAGAGCAGGCAGCGTCTTACTAGGACAGCAAAAGTGCTTAACGGGGAAGATGTTCCAAGAAAAAACCTTCCTTCGCTGTGGTCCCCAGACCAAGCAAATAAGACCAAAGGTCTTATTTAAAGTAAAAACCTCTCTTTTTGAATTCAGTCTGAATTCGGCTTTTTTACTTTAGCGATAAAATCAAGGAGCATATCAGCCAGGAGGTGGCGATAGGCACCTTCCAAAAACAAGGAGCACGAGTTACAGGGTGGGATATTTCACGTTATAATTCTACTCTTTCTTCTGCTACATTCAGCTATTTTTTATAGTTCTTTTATCACATTCCCCCCCTCTCCCCCCCTTCAAAGAGCTTCTAAGAGATGTACTCACAAAAAGCTAATGGGGCAATAAGTGACTAATGGATTCTTTAATAATTGATTTATTTCTATATGTTTCTGACAAAGGTTTTAAAAATCCTTTTAAAACCCTAAATTTAGGAGCTAGGTCCCTTGGCATTAGTTTGGTTCTGTTGCAGAGTATGAGTGGACAAAGACTCTTTACTGTTCAGTGCTCACAAGGTGGGGTCCACAACCAATCAGCAACACAGCTCTCAGATCCCAAAAGAGGAAAGCAAAGGAACTCGATGACACCTCAGTCATCAGATTCAGCCTTCACCATCAAAAGCAAGCCTGTCACTGTCCTCCACTCATAAAACTATTTCACTCTTTCAATCTCAAGGCACAAGAATGGATCAATTAATAAACTCTAAATGGCATGTGATGATTTGATTTTGAAAGCTGCATGATTAATTCCCCAAAGAGTGCCTGAAAGATGATTTTCTCCTGTTTTTTTCTATATAGATTAATTATCTCACTTATCTCTATACTGATTCTCGCCCATCCCAGAGCACATGTGACCTTTCCACCAGAGCATCAGACATGAGGAAGAGATCAAGGAAAAGACCTGGGGGTAGCACTGCCTGCACCAACTCTAAGGAAAGAAGTTATGCTCAGGAGGTTAAGAGCTGCTGCTGTGGCTGTCCAAAGGAATCCTAAATCCCACAAAAAAAAAAAAAAAAAAGATGTTTTATGCCAGTATTTCACTCATCTCACCCGGATGGACAACTAGTCAAAGTCTTGGTCAGATATTTTCTGCAACTGGCAAAAAGCAGATCATTATGGTCCAAGCACAGGGGAGATGCAGATCCTTGCTTGGTGCTTAGAGTGACAGGGATGAATGCAGGATGCCAAAGGTAGCTCAACAACTATCTCAGTTTTGATTATCAAATCTGTCCAGTCCTTCTCACAGCAAGCTCAACATTGGATGTGGCAGTGATAGAAAGGATTGGGCAGATACTTGAAGATCCCCCATGGATTTATGGAGCAAATTTCCAGCCATAGTTGAGCAAGTAAGAAAGCCATTAGAGCCCTCAGGACTTTTCCATCCACACTTCCTGCTGGCTCTGTCCTACAGGGGTCCACTTGCACTGTAGAAACTTTCTCTCATCAGCTACTCTGATAACCAAAGACAGCTTCATTGCACCTATGCTACCCTACAACTCTCCCTGGTCCTCTTAAACCTGACAATTTGCACCACTGAGAGAATGGGAATGAAACAGTTGAAGGAAAATACCGAAATCTAAAAGGAAAACACACCTCCAAGTCAACTGAGTTCACAAGACCCTGTTAAAGGCCACTCAGACTTTACCATGTGACCATAAAAAGAACAGTTCATGAGCATCATGGTTGTGTTTATAGTCAGTGATGGCAGTACCTCTGTCTGCAGCTTGTATTTCTGTGCCTGTAGCTGGCAGAGGATGCTCTTGTATTCCTCCAGCTGGCTCTGCAGAACAGGGATCTTCCTCTCCGTTATCACTTTTTCCTGGTTGGAAGAAAACAACGTGTGTACAGGAAAGTATGTTTCACTCTTTTAAAAAGAGCCAAAAGAAATTCCACTACTGGAAATAAACTGTGAAGACAAACAGAAAATGACAAAAGACAGATAAAAAGATGGGTATTGAACCTCGAGTCAACTTCTGTGGCACGGCTTTAAGAATAAAGATGTCAGATGGCAGGGCTGTAACAGTATAGCCTACGTTGAAATTAGACCCTGTAGATACAGCTCTTCACACTTTCTTCCAACTAATACATGTTCTTGATACAGCCACTCATATTGGTGTGAATCACCAAGTTTTCATCTAGTCTGTATCAATTTATTTGATTTTCAAGTTTTCGCAACCTCTCACCCCTTCAGGGTAAGATTTACTTTCTCTTCAAATATTCATACATCCTGCCAGCTCCTCCTCAGAGAGGAAGCACAATTACTTCAAATACCTTGGAACTGCACATTTTTGGGGCTGATACATATGCTGGAGTGCACCTGACCAAATGCAATCACTCTTTCCTGATAGAGTTTTTCAAAGCAACAGTTAATTTTTTTTCTCTCATATTCAGCACTGACACATAGTTGTGACATTTTTCACTTAACCTTGGAGTGGGAGTTGAATGATCTAGGACACTTCAGGAGTAACCTTCATGTCTTTCTTACTTTGAGCAGTATTTACCAACTGCCATACTTGCCTCACATATGCCAGTGGTTATGGGGGACACGCGAGGGGTTGTCTGGATGATCTGCTGCAAAACATTGACGTAGGTCTGGATTTCCATGAGGTTCTGTGGTGAAGTAAAAACCATTTTCATCAGAAAATGCCACAGTAAGGTGCTCCCCTTCTGGGGATTATTTCTAGATATTTATTTCTTTCAGCATATACAAGTCCAAGTTCAGACTTGATTTTAGGATGTGATTTTAGACCTGATTTTGAGGGCATGAGTGCTAACAGTTTCATCATGTTGAGGATACATTAATGGTATTTTGGCTAAGTGACTATACAGTTCAGAGTCTTAGTTAAAGGTTCCATGATTTCTCATTTCATAAGAGATTTTCAAAATGAGAACCAGAAATATCTTTGTACATGGTCTGAGAAAGTGAGTCTCTTCTTGCAAAAGCAGCAAAGATGGGGCAGTGGCCTAATTTCAAGCCTTACAGCATTCCCAGGAAAAGGAGGCTGCATTGGAATCATACAGCCACAGGCTTATGCCTGCTGATTAACTGGCATGCTCTCACCCAGAAAACTGGGTAATGAAAGCAACAGCTTTCTCAGTGTGAAATATAAGACAGCTTGTCCAGCACTTCAGATTGAACCATGATGACAGGTCAAAAAATTCAAAACATTGCTGCAGCCATGGGCTTTGGACCGTGACGGAGTCTGTTTGGATACTGGCAACCGTCCAGCTGTTGTGCTTGACCTCCATGCCGCAGCTGTTTTGCCCACTGAAAATAAAAAGTTCTACATGTACCCACCAATACACAAATGGGACTTGCTTTAATTTGCCACCATTTGATCCCAGGGAAGGGTGAGGCTTCACACCTATCTCTAGAAGGAAGAGTGAAGGAAGACGGTAAATTCAGCCAGTTACCTTCTTATATCTGTCCTTTGTGGCATTTATATCATCCTGCAGGAACTGGGACTCAATCTGCAGCTCCAGGTTGCACAGCAGCGCTTCATCAGCTTCCTGCAACGCAGAGACACGTGGCACGGTCAGCACGTGTGGCTGGAGTGCCAAAATCACAGCAGCCACGTAGCCATAATGCAAGTCATCAGCCTGTGTGGAGTACTGAAGTACTGAAACCTACTATGAAACACTGAAGTATCATGAAAACGGCAAACAAGAGGCATCTTATTCACCACATTCTGCACAAATGTAATTTATGATAGAGTTTGGCACTAGCACTGTCAAAATATGTTTACCATATGCTTTTATGAATGCTGGAAGCCAAGTAGTAGACACTATGAAATGCCAGTTTGATGCTAAAAGCTTGGAATGGTGCATGAGTCTTAAACAAATGACACCAGCAGACTGAGGTGTTGATTTCTCTAGTATTTATGACTAGATCTGAGTTATCCTGATGCCTTTTTAATATCCCCAGTAAATAAATCCTTATAAAAACCCAGGAGAGCCCAAAGTATTTGTACTCTGTTTGGTGTGTTGTCAAATGCCACAAATGCACAAATTTGGAGCCATTTCTGTAAATAAAAATGACAGATGAACAAGTCTACAAAAAAATCATCTTGCTGAAGAAGTTTCTAATACATTGGGATTTGCAAGGACAGAGTTCATAATATCCAATTAATTCAGAGCACAAGCTGTATGACTACCAATCATGATCTCAGAGATGAGTGACATTGGCATTTAAACCCAGTGACATCTCCATTTCTGTTTAAAGGTCTAATTTAGATTTTTCCTGTTATGTTGTTTAATACAAACCCTTGAATACAGAGTAATTGCCATGGAACTTGGCTATATATTTTACAAACGTAACTGTGAATAATAAGATTTACTTTCCTACTTAATGCATGTATTCTTGGTTAGGTTTATCATCAGCTAAAACTCTAAAATATCACTTTTGAAGAAGCATCTTAAAAATTGTCAGCTGGATCTTCCTTGCAACTCTACAAAACTTGCAAGTTCCTCGACCAGGTTGCAATTTGCTTCAAGGAAGTCTTCATTTCTGCATTTAACTCAAAGTGAAATAGAAATAATAATTTTAAAAGAATTTAAAGGCGTGTTTCAAATTACCCGTGTGCCACTACCAGCTGTAAAAGTATCTTAGTGAGTGGATCAGGGGTTGCAAGTAAACCACTGAGATCTGTGGGTGCAGCAGATGACTGGTAGCAGGGGTTTTTCTTTTTTTTTTTTTGCAGGTGCACAGCACGAGCTATTCCAAAAATGTGTGGATGTTAGCTGTCCCATTGTGCTGCTGAGCCTCCCGGGCAGAGAACTCTCCAGCGGGCTCTGCTTTGTGAGGCAGTGGCTGATTCAGAAACATCCAGCCCAGCACATTTGGAGCCAGCTATCAGGAATGCCCGATGCTTTTCTGCACTCCTCTGCCTTCCTATTGAGAGGAAGATCAGCAGGACAATGGTCACACTGGGAGGTTTGTGGGGGGAGTCAAAAAAACAAGCCTCCCGATGATACCGATAAGCAAATATTTCTACATGTGATAAACAAAAGCAGCGTTTGGCTTTCCAAATGGGAAAAATACTTCAAAAGGGAAAAACATTTTTGCTCTTATTCTGTGCTTTCAGAGAGGCCAGCTTCACTGATGAAGCTGTATGTCAGAACAGTGCAGTGGCTACATGTTTTCTTCTGAATTTTGCAGTGTTTGCTATTCACTCGACTTCTGAAAAAACATTCTGCCTTAGGTGTTGGTTCCAGAACACTGATCCACGTGCTGAAGCAGCATTTTCATTTACTGTGAGAGAGAAATCCCTTGGATCTCTCCAGAATGAGTGTTTGCTGTTTTTCCAAACTGATTCTCCATCTGTTGGATAAAGCACAGGTTTGCACCTGCATGTGCAGGTTTCAGGATACATCTTGGGCTTTGCACAGAAAAGCCGCCACCACTTGGTGCCCCAGTGCAAGGAGCTGTTGCAACAGGGGAAGCCCAGGAAAATCCTAGGATAGAAACCCCTCCTGTGTCTCAGTATTTTGTGAGCTGTGCCTGGGACTGTTGAATCCACTCACTTTTCTTTAGCCACAGATTAGCTGAGAGGAACTGTGAAGACAGAGCTACCAGTTACAGCAATCCTGTACAAAGGATTTGTCTCCACAAATACTTTTAAGGGCTTGCAGGGTTTCCAGCTGGAAAATAGCACCAATGCAGGATGTCTAGAGATCAGTGGAGGTAGAAATACCAAAATGCACTTTGTCTTTTTTTTAATATAAAACACACATATCATTGATATGACAGTGTTCAAACAGAACAGCTCCTGCCATTTGCAGTGAGGAAATAAAATAATAATCTCTATTTAGTCCATTTGTAATAGTTTCCCAATACAGAAAATGAAGGGTAAGCTGTGCGAAATAGAAGTGGGAAAAGATATAATGCTATTTTCTTCACTCAGATGACAGCTAGCAACAAGAAAGGATGAACTGGGCTTTCTCAGTTTCACAGACCTGGTCTGGAAACTTCCAGAAGAAGTTAGCCAACTTTTCTCTTTCCCTGAGCCTCCTTATTATTATATTATATGCTGTTATTGTTATTACTATTATTTATTTTCCATTGTATTAGATCATGAGAGTACAACTCGATAGAAAAGGGAGAAATCAGGGGGAATTGAGGATTCTCTTTTACCTAATGGGAAGCTGAGGATCTGTCTGAAGAAGGGCTGACCATATCCTGCAAGGGACTGAGGAGCTTTGAGACACACCAGATTTCAAAACTTGGACTCAGTCAGCAATTTTTCATGCCATGATACTAAAAGTATTTTAATACAGCAACTGAATTTTAAAAGGTTTTTAGCAACAAACATGTTTTCTCCATTCACATTTCGGACTCTCAGATTTGTGTATTGGCTTAATAGTATGATTAATAAATGGACTTTTCCTACCTGTGTTCATTCAGAGAGATTATCTTCCAAGTGAAAGTGAGCTTCAGGAATTAAGAAGAGTTATTAAAGGTACCTAAACATATACCAGATCTTCAGCAAAGGTGAATTTGTGACACTTATGTCAGCTACAGGTCCTGAAATGAATGTAAGGGTCAGTTGCTGATGCTCTAAAAGGAGTGTTAAACAGCAGAGCCTCCCAATCTTAAGTCTCACTGAAAAATTAATGAAGTCCTGAGCACAGCTGACTCTGTGGGCTGTGGATGGCACATGCTACAGGAGCAAAATCAGTAGGACTGTTCAAGGCAGGGAATCCACAGTGCCTACTCACACACTTCGGTTCTGACACTTGCACAAGGCTTGGGGAGGGGGATGAAAGGGAAGGAAAACTTTTCATCAGGGCATAATGACAAGAAACCTCTTGCTCTGACATTTTATCTTCCCTCTGCTTCTTGAAAGCAGCTTGCTGTAGTAAATGAAGCCGAAGGAAAAAAAATTATAGAGACCTTTCCTTTGCCATTTTCTCAGACCTACCTTATTAAGGCGCTCAAGGGTTTCTTTTAGCCTCTGCTGATATTCACGTTCATTTCTATACCTGCAAATAGAGAAAAGGAGAGAAAGGTCACTGGTTCATCCTTCTGTGAGCTGCATTTTCATCTGCAGAAGATATGCTTCTCACTAAAGGAGGATATGAACCATGAAGAGACCCAAAAGATTTATTTATACATTAGCATTAATTGGTTTTAGGTCCTGGATGCTGAGACTCATTACAGAACTGATGAACCACTTGTCTTCTATTTATGTAATAGAATACAACGAAATGTCACATATTTGCTATCACTTTTTTTACAGGACCCTTAAGAATAGACTATTTACAATAAAAGCACATTCCATTGGCACTGGACTACAGTGACAGCCATTCATCAGTGGTTACTACGTGAGGATTTGCTACACTGGCACATTAGCATTTCGTTGCATTGTCCCTGGTTTTCTGTCCTACCTGCTGTTATTTGATAAGCATTTTCATGACAGGCAAATTAAACACAAAGGTTGCAGTTTCCCATATCGACTGTGTATGAATAATGTTGCATTAGGATGCTTTGATTCATCAAGCTTTGTGTCCTCTTTAATGGCAATTTGTATTTTAGCTTGGTCAAAATCACATATGAGCCTTAGTAAGGACAGCATTTATCCAAATATTCTTATGCATTTATAAAATGTCCACAAGTGCATAATGGGCATGTTCCTGTGCTGAGTGAAACTTGGATGTAAATTGTGTTTATCTTCGGTTTGAGGAAACAGCACATATTCCTTAAGAATTAGGGCTCTCCCTTTTGTATGTTAGATAGAATTATCTTTTAGAAAGTCCTTTTGGTCACAGAGTACAAAACTTCCCAATTGTTGATTATTGTGGTTTGTTCCCTTCCTGCATATAAAATGTTTAATAAGAAATGGTTTCATAAGATTCCAAAAACAACAACAACAACAAAAAAAAGCCAGACCAAACCAAAACCCCACACAAACACTATTAAAAACACAACAACAAAGTAAAAAAAACAATCACCCAGAAACATCTCTTTAGTATGAGGTAATGAGACTTTGCCATCAGTCCTGAACAAGTGTCTCATCAGACTCCAACAACTGCCAGTGACAAAGTACAGAAATACACTCTATTCCTGTTTATCCCTTTACCTTCCCTAAGACAATAGAGATATAGAGTTATAAAAAGCTGTCATTTTCTTACTGTCTACCAGAAACCCTCATGGTGGGTGTCACTCATGAACTGACCAGGACCACAAAGGAAGAACTTGGCAGAACAAAGAAATGGACTTGGTGCTTTGGTTTCCCAACTTTCCCTTCCTCTGAAATCCCATAATATTATCAGGGGTAACTGGTCTGTTTTCAATTCTTACCATGAGCAGCAAAGAAACACATGAAAATGCTGAGGTTTTATTTCATTATCACTCCTACGAATTGCTGATAAAACTAAAACAATTTCTTTTTTTTGCAGAATAGTATTAACACCAGGTTCACTTCCCAGGATACAACAAGAATATTCAGTGAGACTGCCTTTGTTTTTGTTGTTTGACAAGTAGTTCACCTCCAACCAGTTTTCTTTCTATCTCATAAAATTTTTGTGTGCAACTGACAGTGAACACTTCGCTAGCTTAGATACTTTCTGACAACTGAGTAAGGAGGAAGCAGATTGTGGCAGCTTGTGAAAATCAAATATACAGCTACAAAAAAAAAGCGGGTTTTACACTCCCGGTAATACGCAACCATCTGATGGAGTCAGGCTCTAAATATCAGCCCTAATGTCATTCAAACATGCAGAGATCTGCCTCATTGCTAGATCCTCACTCAGAAATTCTTTCAATGACTAAAATGTTCAGCTACATTTTCCTTCCCTCTCAAATAACCCAAATACCTGCTGTGCCACACAGTCATAAATCCACCTGGTAGCCTTGAGAGAGTTAGTATTTTGTGATTATCCTTTGAAGGATGATCACTTTTAAGTGATGTTCAGTCTACTCCAGAAGCTACTCAGTGCAAAAGGGTTAAGGACCTCTTTGAAATGCTTCAGAGACCTCAGGATGCTCCTGTGCCTACTGAAACATATCTGTGTAAGTGCAATTGCCGACAAATTACAACCCTGTTATGCTTCAAAGCTAATTTCAGTGTTCAAGTAATTGGCTGGACTTGTTGAAAAGAGGGGTTTTTTTAGGTGATTGCTGGTCAGACTTCCCTGGAGCTTGAGAGGCATGAGGTTGATTTGCTTCATTAAAAAAACCCCAGCCAACCAACCAAACACAAACCCTCTCACCTAGTCAAGTAGCTTTAGATCTCCAAACCATTTTGGACTGTTTAGAGAAAAAAAAAGGGATGTTAATTTTTTTGCATAGGGTGAAAGAAACGGAGTGCAGGGGGCTGCCAAGCTGAAAGCAAGCAGATGAGAGGATTGTAGGTTTCTGTCACCTCTTTTTTTGGACCTTGCCTCGGCTGCAGTGCAAGGGCTTGCTCCTCTCCAAAAAGAAAACAGTCACAATGCATCCAAGCAGCGCTCAATGGCCAGATAATCAATTTGTTGTCAAACCTGAGCCTTTTATATGGTGCCTCTCTGTTGAACTCTACTGAACCCTTCTAGCAATATGTGAAACATCTTGGCTACTGCTCCTCTCCTTTTCCCTTGCCCTGAGCACTTCACTAACCTTCTCTCAACAGACAGCAGTAATTTGAGTGCCAAAGAGAGCACAGACTACAAAACACCGGTCCTACAAGGATGATGGACTGGCCAATAGCGTTTGTGGTTCATACCCTGAACGCTCAGATGAGCCCCGTGAGGGCTGTGCTCTGCTGATTTATGAGCAGGTTGCTACCTGTGTTATCAAGAAAACACTACTGAGTGGCTGACAGCCACAGGGCAAGCTTGCAGTGGTTCAAGGAGGGGGTGGAGGGCAGACAGAACCTCCTCACCTCAGCTGCAGCAGGATAAAGTCCTTCCTATCACCAGAGAAGCAGCAGCAGTGCAGAGACAATCCTTGCAGACAGGGCTGGAAGGCAGCTTTGCCAGTGGAGTCCCCATATTGCAGATATCACATTTTCCTGCTTGTTTTTGTTTTCTCTCACAGGCACTGGGTTTCTACTTTGGCCACAAAGGGTGTCAAGCTCATCAGAGGATCCTTACACAGCACAGCTTGGAGAACACAGTGCCAATTTCCATGGCTAGCAACTTCCAGGGAATCAGACTGCATGTGCAAAACCCACTAGATACGAAGTGAATGAATTTTTAAATTAACCAATGATTAACAAAGTTTTTAATTTCTGAAGTTAATTAATCCTCCTCTGTCAAGGCCGCTAAAATCTAGATTTCAGTATCTTTCCTAACATCACGGAGTGAGAAACACAGTCCTTTCCCACAACCAGATGTAATGTTGCTATAACAATGATGGTCAATAAAATTAGCATAATGAGCCTTTTTATGAAATGCGTCCAAACAACTCCTAGCAATGTTTGTTTTTGTTTTTGTTTTTTTTTTTTTTTCAATTTCAAGAGAAAGAATTCTCCTGATAATCTGAATTATTCACATTAATGTGAAATGCTATGAATGTGACTACAGAGGATTTAAAAATAAATTTTAACGTAAGATCTACTTTTTAATGGTTCATGCCCATTTAAGTGTACAGACCGAGTAGTCTCAGGCCCTGCTGTGTTTAGATGTAGCTTTAAAAGGTCTATTTATATAAATGTAGCTTTAAAAGGTCTATCTATAAAAATGCGGCTTTAAAAGGTTTCCTTATACCTATAAATCTATTTCCCAGATTGCAAAGGTGAGTGAAAGAATGAGTGATTGCAAGAGGTAAAATCCTTTGCATTAGTGAAGGACACAGACATTCGTCAATTAATTGAATCACAATGCTCCACTCTAAGAGATTTTGTTAATCCCAGCATGCCAAAAGTAGAGGCTTTACGGTTCAAAATGAAGCAAGAAACACATAGTGCCTGTTGACAACTGAGCACAGACTCAGGGAGGAAGGTAAGGCTTCAGCACATGAATGCTTCTGGTTTCTGTAGTCCCTAATATGTCACAGGGGGTTATTCCTCCCTTATTTTGTTTAGAGAGCTTTATTTACAACTCTCGGTAGCTAAAATTAGAGCCATCAGGATGGCATCAGTACATGGTGCCAGAGCACTGTGCTTTTTTGAACACCTGAAACTCAAAACCTGGTCGATTTTTGTCAGATGCTGAAGAAACTTTCATGTCTGTCTTTCAGTCAAATTCAGCAGCTCCCAAGAGGAAAAAACAAACCCAAAATTCTCCTTTTGGTATAAAGCGGAGGCAATTTGGTTAAAAAGCAGCCACTGCCCTTCCATTGTAATGGCCTTTTGTATCTTCAGTTTTTAAATTGCAATTTTTGGCTTAGATATAGTCAAAGTTTCATTTTTATGTGTTTAAAAGTTTTATTTTGTTTACAGCTGCTGAATGAATATCCCAGGATATGGGATGGACAAAACATGCTCCATTTTTTCTAGGAAGTCATTAACTACCCCTGTAGCAGATCCTAAATATTACCTTTTAAAGCACAGCCCCTTTTGTGTGTGTTTCCCTCCCTGGATTTTCGATGCCCTGTGTTCTTCCTCATCTATTTACAGCTTGCATAAAGCAGCTGTAATAAATGTAAATTATCTTTTTGTCACATCACTAATCCTGCACAGTTTGCACAGATTTTTAACTAATATGCAGCTAGACACTTAAGTACCAAGTTTAGTCAAAAAATCAGGNTTTTTTGTTTTTTGTTTTTTTTTTTTTTTGCAATTTCAAGAGAAAGAATTCTCCTGATAGAGAATCTGAATTATTCACATTAATGTGAAATGCTATGAATGTGACTACAGAGGATTTAAAAATAAATTTTAACGTAAGATCTACTTTTTAATGGTTCATGCCCATTTAAGTGCACAGACTGAGTAGTCTCAGGCCCCGCTGTGTTTAGATGTAGCTTTAAAAGGCCTATTTATATAAATGTAGCTTTAAAAGGTCTATCTATAAAAATGCGGCTTTAAAAGGTTTCCTTATACCTATAAATCTATTTCCCAGATTGCAAAGGTGAGTGAAAGAATGAGTGACTGCAAGAGGTAAAATCCTTTGCATTAGTGAAGGACACAGACATTTGTCAATTAATTGAATCACAATGCTCCACTCTAAGAGATTTTGTTAATCCCAGCATGCCAAAAGTAGAGGCTTTACGGTTCAAAATGAAGCAAGAAACACATAGTGCCTGTTGACAACTGAGCACAGACTCAGGGAGGAAGGTAAGGCTTCAGCACATGAATGCTTCTGGTTTCTGTAGTCCCTAATATGTCACAGAGGGTTATTCCTCCCTTATTTTGTTTAGAGAGCTTTATTTACAACTCTCAGTAGCTGAAATTAGAGCCATCAGGATGGCATCAGTACATGGTGCCAGAGCACTGTGCTTTTTTGAACACCTGAAACTCAAAACCTGGTCGATTTTTGTCAGATGCTGAAGAAACTTTCATGTCTGTCTTTCAGTCAAATTCAGCAGCTCCCA